CAAATGACTTTCGCCATCATGTATGAAAACAACTATATTTTTATATTTTTTTTATAAAAAATAAAAAAAAAAGGTTGAGAAAAAAAATTTTTATTGATTCTTGCTATCTTTTTTTTATTACATATATTATGAAAGATTTAATTTTATAAATTATACAAAAAAAATTATTTCAAATCAGCTTTATGACGTTGAATAAAGTCATCAAGTGAAGAAGGATTTCTACCAGTCATGGTTTTAAATTCATGTGCAGTAACAAAATTTGTACGATGTGCTTTGACCAAATCGTAAAATTCAAGCAATAACATTTTTTCACTTTCATCCAACATCTACAGTATATATAAATAGAAAATGAGTAAAAATTCCAAATTAAAATTATGTTATAAATATGCGTGTAATTTTTTACCTTGACATTTGATAAGATTTTCAAAGCCTCTTCATTAGAAATATCTTCAAATTTTATTTCTTTGCCCACGACTTTCGAAATATGTTGAGCCATTTGTTGACCAGTCATTGCGGTGGGTCCAGTCATTGTAAGTAATTGACCAGAATATTCCTTCATCTTGTCAGGATTAGATAACAATAAAGAAGTAGCTTCAGCAACATCCAATAAATCAGCTGGTGCAAATTTACCATCTCCACTTGGAATTGGAAGTGTTCCTTTTTTAATCTGTTCTTGGTACAACAAAAGATTTTGCACGTAAAAATTTGCACGTAAAATCAACCAATGTTCAAAATTAGCTTGTTTAACTAAATGTTCGATCTTTTGAAATTCGCAAAGGTGTGAGTGACTTTTCTGATCGGCAATGTCAGTTGCTGCCATCGAAATCATAATACAATTCTTGACTTTTGCCTTGGATGCTGCATCAACTAAATTTTTGGCATGCCCGGCTTTATCTTTTTTCGTGGGAGGGATTAATACGACAGTGTCCGCTAATTATTTATATTAGAACAAAATTCATCGATTTTAATATTTGTTTTCACGAAGCATTAATAATGATGTAAATCTCACCTTTTTCGAAGATTCCAATATAATCTGAAGTAGATTTTGCCTTTATTTAGAAATAAAAAAAAAGAATTTTTATAAATTTTTCAAATTAAATTAAATTAATAAATATATTTCTTTTGTACCTTAGATATCGTAACACCTTTATCTTTCAAATCAATCGATTGAGATTCATCCTCAGCAATGGCACAAATAGATTGAATTTTATTTTTTAAATCAGGTGTGGTAGCGAGATGTTTAGCAATTTCGTATCCACTAGTATCAAATGATGAAAATACAATTATTGGGAACATTTTAACATGTGGAGCAAAAATAAATGATTATTTTTTGAAGGTAAGAAAAAACTTACGTGAATCCGTCGACCGAAGTGATGCAGACCTTCAATTGGTAATTAAAAGGATAAAAAAAGTAATATATTAATCAAAATTAATTCAAAAATTAACGAAGTGAAAAATATATCAATATATCAATCATTTAATTAATAATCACTTTTGGTTTAGACATGTTTTTTTATTAATAAAATTGAATTTATTTTTTGCAAATTTTGAGAAAGGGGAAATTCCAGTTCTTTATAAAAGAGAGTTTTAGGATTTTTACTAATGATAATTTTGTTTAATTGATTTAAAAACATTGCGTAATAATTATTTCATGAGAAAATAATAAATCATTCGAAGCAACACACAAAATGTGATACAAATTTGTCGTAAATCTAATACCAACATCCTCCTCGTGATTGTGATATTAACGATTCATCGCCGTTTCTTGTTTCTCATTTTAAATATTGTGGTAGCATGTTGTTTAACTTGCTGAAATCGTCATCATGCATTCTTCATTTTATCTTCCCAGACATCAGTTTCGTTTTAGATATCAACATTTGATCAATAATTAATAATCCATATTTACCATCAATGTTAATAACAATACTAATCTTGGAGAATCAGCTTTAAAAACTTTAACATCATCCTGTTCATTCATCATATTTTTGTGAAACTTCAATGGGTATTTACACCTTTGAAGTGAATCATAACTTTTAACGCTCCTTTTCGCAATGTAGATCATAACTTTGTTTAGATATATTAATAATAATATTTTAGCATTTCTAATTACATGAGAATCCAAATATTGTAATCAAATAAAATCTTCTCGATATTAAAGTAAATAACATCTTCATCACTTTGATTAAATAATTATTAATTATTAGCTCGTGAAGCGCTCGCTTCTGATACTATCTGGCGCTAGCAATGAATGAATTGAATAAATTTGACGGGGTGATTTTGAAATTTACTTTCCCACAAGAAAGCAGGACGTAGACTGAGAGAATATATAAGAATCTAAAGAATCCTGATAAATAAATATATGTAAAAGAAACCCTTTGGAACCAACATAGCATCCCCATTCATCCATGACTTTGGACTAATTACTATATTGCGATGAGTAGTGGTGATAAAGATAGTTTAATTATAAAATTGTTGGGTTTTTTTCATGCTGGTGCGTACGTTATGATTACGCTCAACAACTAACCAGTGCATTTTCTTTAAATGATGCATTTGTACATTTTTATTTAAGATCCAATATTAATAATAAATTCGATTTTTACAATCATTTTAGGTATAGGAAGGAATTTTTAAGTAGCATATAATGATCCTTTAGAACAAATATTTTTTTGCAATTGTAATACTTTTCCTGGACGGTGCACAGATACAGGCAACATGAGTCATGTGCAAACTTTATAAAGCAAATTTATTCAATTATTATTTCACCCCTTGAATTAACGTATCGAAATGCAAGCTTAGTGTGGATATGAATATATCAAAAAGACAATCTGCAAAGTAATAAAATTTATCGTATCTATGTGAATATGAATATGAAATGGCCCTTATTTTCTTGAAAGTACAGTAAGGTTGTGGTTGTGGTTACTCATCATGAATTCTAAAAAAAAGTTTTCAGAATTACGAGAGTTCTCCCTCAATCAGAACAAGATATATATTTTGATGAATCAGCTCGAGACCATGGATTATGGTGCAATAGGTATTGAAATTTTATTGCTGGAATCATAATATCAATATGTTGCAATTATTGCCGCTATTGCAGAAAAACAGAATAATTGGTCCCCATATACCAAACTATTGATCTTGTGACATTATACGGGTTCAAATAACAGACGTTCGAGGTGACAAAGTCATCAGAAACATTCTCAGTTGTGGGAAAAAAAAGATAATTGATTTTGTAATGACTATTACTATAGAAATAGGAATAGTGTTCTTTATTAAAATGTGCTAAATATACCTAAAAGGAAAAACATAATTTTTCCGCTATTTATTGGAAAAAGAATGTTTTATAGTTCAAGTAAACAATTTCAATATCATTACACTGCCAGCATTTGCAAAAAGTTAAGGAACAGACCATATTAATATCAGCAGTCACCCATTGAAAACGTGTGTGACAAATTATGAAAATGATTTTGAAAAATGTCAAAAAAAAATTCAGTGAATGGCAAGTATTTTGTATCAAATTTTTTATTTGACAAAGTAGTCATATACTGTATATCTTCTACATTATTTTCAACTTTAATTACGACAAATATAATGATAATCATAATAACAATGTCTGCCACATTGACCACCATTGCATTCGTTAAATCTGTCAGTGGCGCTAATACTTTGAGTAGAGTGTCCACGACGAGATTAGATGATCGAGAATATGTAAAGTCCCAATACAAGGCTTTTCAATGTGTATAATAAAAACCAGCTTGAAGATATACGATACAATTGAATTGTTTATAAGAAAGTATGCGTTCTCAATTTTAAAACTTCCCAAAAATCTAAGCAAGCATGGGGTCAAATGAAAATGAATGATTTTGTGGTGACTAAATCTTGATCCCTGAAATTCCTTTGCAACGCCTAATTGAAATTTGTGTTTCAACTATATAATTAATTTACATTTATTTTTTGATTATCCGCAGAAGTTTAATTTAATATTGTAATATATATAATGTCGTGCTTTATCTTTTTCTCAAAGTAAAAACAATTTGCAAAAAAAAAACCAAGAAATGATTAAAACATTCAAAACCAAACAACCTATTAACCCCAACTTGAAAAAAAATAATGCAAAAAAATATCGTTCCTTGTCAAAAAAACGATTAATACAATTCCATAATATTTTTTATCAAACGTTATGTCAATATAATCCAAATATAATAGCTATGGAAAATGACGAATTTTTAGAATATTTGGCTAGTCAAATTTGGGAAGAAGGAATTTTACAAAGAAAATTAAAAAATGATGATTCAAATGATTCTACTGCAATTGATAACAATGAGCTATTTGAGTTATCAGAACAAGAAATTATCGATAAAATTTTTGAAATAATTAATCAAGATTTTATAAATTTTGAAATTTGCAATAATGAAAATGAAATTTTGGAAATTTCTAAATCCATTCTGCAAAATTATAAATCTACTATTTCTCCACTCGTTGAAATTAATAAAAATGGGAACGAAGACGATGACAACGAAAATGACGAAGAAGAAGAACAAGAAGGAAACAACAAAGATGAGGAAGAAGAGGAATATGAACCTGGTACATGTCAATTATGTCATAGATATGTGCGGCTTTCATTTCATCACTTGATACCAAAGATGGTTCATAAACGAGTCATATCCAAAGGAATGTTCTCGAAAGAAGAATGTCAAACTAGAGGAATAAATATTTGTAGATCATGTCATTCCGCCTGTCACAAAATGATTTCTCATAAAGATTTGGCTTATTATTATAATACGCTTGATAAATTGTTGCAACACGATGGAATCGCAAGATTTGTTGAATGGAACTCTAAACAAAAATCTCGCTCAAAAGATTACCACCAATTAAACAAGTTAAAATATTCAAAACAATAATAGTAATTATCATTTATAAATAGATTATTTATGTATTTAATTTAAATGTATTCTAAATATTCTAAATATTCTAAATATTCTAAATAAAAATTTATGTCACAACTACTCGCTCTTCTTCCTCCTTCTCGTTCTTTTAATTCCTCTCCTTCAACCACCCTCTTCAATCTCCCTCTTCAATCTTCAATATCCTCTTCAACATCCCCATCATCTTCATTAACACGTGAAATTCTTTTTTGACATTTTTTAACTTCCAATTGCCAATCAGTAGTTATAACTGCTAAAACTAACCCTAATCCCATAATTAACGATCCTACAATTACTCCTATCCAAAGTCCCTTCAATCCATACGAAAATCTAAATGCTAGTATCAAACTTAACGGCATTCCTATCAAATAATATGACGTTAGGTATATTGTTGCCACTATGTCTTGTCTTCCTTGACCACGAAGAATTCCTATAATTCATTGTTTTTTAGCCGAGCTGTGTTATTCAAATAATAAATAATAAATAATCAATTAAGCTTTACCTGACCCAACTACTCCTAATCCATCTGAAATCTTTATAAAAAAATTTTGTTTTTTTTTTAATTATATTTGATCGCTACTTTTTTTTTCCAATCTCCACCTAATAAAAAATTTACCTGAAGTAAAACACAATATGGCAAAACTGTCGAAACTAATGATACTACTTCTCCATCATTAGTAAATAAATGTCCTAAAGAATCCCTAAACATTAATAACAAAGTGCTGTTAAAAGCAGCTCCTAAAACTGCAAGTACTAACGAACTATTTGCTGTCACTCTAGCTTTATTTGCTAATTTTGCTCCCAACAAATTGCCTATTCTATTCGAAGTTGATATGGAAATACTATGTGGCAATTGATACAACAGTAGCGCAATCGTTAGAATTAGTCTGTGTCCAGCCAATGGTAAATTTCCGAGGTATCCTGCCGCTAATGCCAAAAATTCATAAACCTTGTTTCATTTTTTTAAATAAAAATAAAAATAAAAATATTATTATTATTATCATCATCATCATACGTCCCATACACAATTACATATCCATTAAAAAAAATTTTTAAAGAAACATACCCACCAATCTGCAAGTGATGTTAAAATACCAGGGACAGCAAGTTTTAACAAAGGAGACCAATCTTGAAGACTTTCACTAGACCATCCACCCCAACCTTCACTACCATCAACATATTTAACATAAAATATTGAACAGATCATCATTAACCAATTAGTTATGGAGATTGCTATTGGAGCACCAATAAAACCCAAAGCTATCGGTTCCCACAAAACCAATACATAATTTAGAATGAGACTTATTGGACAACAAAACATCAGAATATAAGTTGTCGCCTTCATAATTCCTATAACCATTTTGTGTTCAAAAGAAAATATTTATAAAATTATTATCAATCTATTATTATTTCCAATTAATTAATTGAAAAAAAATAACCTTGAGCCTGGAGATATTTCTCAATACACCAAAAAATTAAACATGGAGGTACACCCAATAACAAATAACGTAGATATATCTCTGATTTCATTGACAATTCAACATTTTGTCCCAAAAACCCAAGAATTGTTCCTGCATTCCACCATGTAATAACCGCAAATGGAACAATTCCAACTAGAATTATTATGATAGCACGTTGCAAGTATATCCCTATCAACTTTGGTCTTCTTGATGAGAAACTTTGTGGAAACAATGTATCTAATGCCAACGTAAATCCGAATCCAATTGACCACACTGTTACTGCTGCGTACTACACGTGATTAAAGGTGTTAAACAAACACTATTTTTTTATTTTTTTCATGCATATTTTTTTTACTAACCATGGATCCTAAAGCAAGAGCAGCAAGTTCTGTTGATCCCTTAAAGAAAAAGATGTAATCAATCAATCAATAATTAATTAATTAATCGATTAATCAAATAATTGATTCAATTCTTTCATCATTAATTACATATTATCTTATTACCATATGTCCCAAGGCGGTCACACTAAAAGCTTGTAGAGCATATTGTAATAGGAATGCCAATAATGCTGGAAATGCTTGTTTTAGTAAATGAATTGCTTCATTAAAATCATACTTTATAACGTCATGATCATTGGCGTAATTATTATGTGATGACAGCAAACTTGTGACTTCATCAGTATTAATGTTAGTATTTGAATTATTATAATTATTTAGATTATTATTATTATTATTATTATTTGGGTGATCAAAATTTAATGTAGACATTGTTGGAGGTTTATTTTGACTGGTGATTTTTATTTGTTTCTTGTGTTCCCTTGGATGAGGAATTTGGAGTCTTTTATATTTATTTTGTTTATTATTATTTATATTATTATAGAGTAATCCAAATATATTATCTATATCGGATATTTGATTTTGTTACACCACCTCATCATCTCATACATTCATACAAATATTTTATTATTGAACATTTTTAATTTATAATAATAATAATAATAATAAATATTAATATAATATTATATCGAGAGAATCTCGTTCATAATTTATCTACTTATTAATATTAAATGGAATTGGAGTTGCAAGAAAACATGAAAAGAATTATAATTCATAATGGTCATAATGGCAATATTGGAAACGTCGTTGATCAGAACAATAACTGGAAAAGAACACCATCTTTACCTTTTGAGCTTCTCAGGTATATTTTTTCACTCCTCGGAGAAAATAATATGAAATCATTACATTCTTGTCTCCTTGTCAATAAACAATGGTGTAATTCAGCCGCTACTATTTTATGGAGAAGGCCATTTGAACTTTCATCAATGTTAGATTCAGCAAAATTAATTTCAATTTACGTAAAGTTTTTTTCAGATAATGTTAAACGAAATTTATTTAACAAATTAAGTATAGAAATAGCACCATTTACATCATCATCGTCATCGTCACAACCCAGTTATAACAATGCACCGCCATTATTAGACTATTTAGCTTATTTAAGACAAGTAGACTTTAAAAAAGTTTATAAAGCAACTAGATTTTGGTTAAATTTGCCAAAGAAAAGTATGGAGGAACCGTTTGGAATTTCGGTAAAAAGGAGACAAATCAATCAAGCAAATGCGATCGTGAAAGAATTAGGAATATTATTTTTAAATTTTGCTCAAATTAATAATTTAACGATTGATATTAGAGATTTTGATTATGATTTAGCAACAGATATTCATGATTGTATTTCTTGGCCAACATATCCTTTACTTAATCGGAATAGTTATTACAATAGTAGTAATGAGAATATTGAAATTAATGACGAGAACATTGAACGTGATAATAGCACTATTACTGTTAATAATACACATAATGCTAGTAATGAAGTGGTATTGAGGTCAGAAATTCGAGAATTTTTATGTGCGGGACAATTTGATAAAGACAAAATTTTAGAGGAAATGACACCTATATGCAAAGATATTGAAATCTTAAGTTTACATGACTCTAGTGGTACCTCATCAGATTCATTAGCAAATTTTATAATGGTTCAAAAAAGATTAAAGAAATTTATTTTAACAGATTGGCATTTGAACACTCAAAATATTTTCTCTGCTATTGCAACACAATCAAAAACCTTAAAACATTTTGAAATTATAAATTGTAACTTGCCAATAAGAGTCGTTGACAAGATAAATGAATATAAAGATTGGTTGTTTGAAAATTTAACAAAATGCCACAAATTGGAATTTTTAAAAATAGAAAAATGTCGAAATTTATCATCAATAGTAATGGAACCTTTAGCAAAAGTTGGATTAAAAAATCTAAAAGTTTTAATTATCGACAACTATATTAACGATTATAATGATGATGATTGGGATTGGAATTGTTATTATTTCAATGACAACAACAACAACAACAACAACAACAACTATAATAGTTATAATTACAATTATAGGAATAAAAACAACGACAACATCTTCAACAATAAGCCTCCAGTATCAGAACTACAATCACTAATAATAAAATCACACGATACATTGATTGAAATTGATTTAAATGTAAATTTAAAAATTCATACAAATATTCTAGAAACAATTGGAAACAATTGTTCGAATTTATCAAAGCTAAGTATAGCAATTACAGGAGACCAAGAATTAAAAAATTTGATAAGATTATTTGAAAGATCTTTGTTGAAAAAATTGGTTGAATTGAGAATACAAAGAAAAAAGGAAACTTTTTCTAATACCGCCTTAAGAAGCACTTCAACACCTTCAACGGTATTTGAAGTTAAACAATCCCTAATTGAATTAGGGAATAGTTTACCATCATCAATAAAATACATAGAATTGAATAGTATGATGTTTAATTATAAGAGCTGGGAAGAATTTCTAAATGTTTGTCCGACTTCTATTGAACATTTAGCATTCAATACGATGCAGGATCAAACTAAATACAAGAATTTAATTGAAAAATATGCAAAAAAACATGACAAGCGCTTAAAATGCAAAGATTTAAGTGAATATTCATGGCTATCACCAAAATATATAATGGTTGATTTGTTTTAATTTTGGCCTTTGCCAAAATAAATTGTGACGAATTGTATAATATGGTATTAGACAACATTGTATGTTACGTATTCAATAATTATATTGGTTAGATTAGAAACTTTAGGGTAATTTTATAATGGATATTATATATATATAATTAATTTTTTTGTCAATCAATACATATTAATTTTGTTTTGCTTTATTTGATTTACGTGTAATATATTTAATTTTTATTATTATTATTTTTTTCAATTAATTATTTAGTTTATATAAAGTTTAGATTTTTTAAAAAAAATTCTTCAAATGTTTAATGATATTTCATCCCAAACAATGGATGGACTTTAAGTTCTTATTAAGATGCTTTACCACTAAATAAATATTAAAACTTGTAAATGATTTAACAAAATTATTTAAAACTTTAGAACACCATTCTACCATTTTAAAAGCAAAATTTTCTATCATCGGATAAAAAGACCTGAAAAAAGAAGTTCTATTAATGTAAGATCAATTTAATTTATTTTTTAATTTAGTTGTATAATATCAGTATAGATAAACATCCGATGACTTATTTTTAAAAATCGAAAAATCAATAATTATATCTAGAGAGTGGAATTTGGAAAGAAGAAACAATTTTTAGAAGGTTTCTTATCGTTAATTAGATTTGATGGAAAAATTAAACCTTACAAAGAAACTGTTGATATAAGAGTATATGAAGAGCTTCATCAATATCATCTTACTGGTATATGGTAACAATTTTTAATATTTACATTGGATTAATAAAAAATGATACAACAATGAAATTATTTCATCACATCATATTATTCTTCATAGTCAGTTTTAAATAAATCATATTAATGTCATTTCAATCAAATTTTTTCTTGCAAATATATATACTCGCGGTTTTCTGTGATATTCATTATACGTATAACCCAAATGAGCACTTTGGCTAAACTGACTGTTTAGTCACCAGACCTGATAATATACCCAATATCTTTAGTATGAATAATTGTTTTCTTTTCTTTATAAACAAAATTATTCCTATTTTTCACAAAAAAAAACAAAGCATGTTGTGGAATTATTGTTTTTAGTTGAAATTCTTTTTGATTTCGGCAATGATTTTATTTATAATTTAAAGACACAAAAACATCCTATATCTAAATCTCTCGATAATTTTCTCTATTCTTCAAAAGGTAAGTTTGTGGGTTAAAGTCTATTAAAAATTTAAAACCTAAACTAAACCCAATTGTCAAGTTTTAACACATCTTAACAGCATAATAAAAAATGTGTATCATGTTTTGAAATATATATTTTATTGAGAAATAAAAAAATAAGAACCACAGAATAATTGTTTTTGCTAATACTTAAATTGTTAATCTATTTTATATAATTGGATATTTAGTATTATTAATATTAGTTGGATAGCCTTTAGATTTTTTTACAGCATCTATTCTCCTAGGCATACTATCAACTAAATTTGCCAATGTCTCTATGTCAATTTGGTATGCTCAACAACAGATAATTCTCTAATTTTAGTCATCTGATTTAAATATATGATTTTTTGTGAAAAACAACGTGAAGATCTAAAAACAATTTTGATAAATGTTTATATTACGTATTATTCAAACAATATATATATATATTTCAAAGCATGATGCACATTTTTATTATGTTATTTAGACATGTTAAAACTTGACAATTAGGTTTTGTTATCAATTGAAAATTTTTTACTTTGACTTTTAAAGCTAATAAAATTATTAATTGTAAACAAAGCATTATAAAACTCAAGTATGTTATGGGAATTATTATGAAGATTGATTTTTGCTTAATACACAACACAAAAGTGATTGTAATAATAAAATTTTGAGTTATTTTTATTTCACTTTGTTCAATTATTTCCAGCGATCTGCAAAATTGCCAATACTTATGGCAGGTGAGTGTAATAAATTACTGTAATCAAATATTGCCAGCATGGACCCTTGGAAAAATACAATTCTTTCCGTGCTCCAAAGAAATCAATGGTTTTTCTCCACCTTCTCTCCACCAAGTGGAATTGAATTGGCTATTGCCCTATCATTTCTGTTGTTGAAACTTTCTAAACTATAAATGATGTGTTATTTACCAGAAATTATAAAGCAACTTTATGGATCTCAATTATTTTTTTTATTATCCTAGTTTTTCTCAACAAGCTTTTTTCAAAATTATTCTATTTTGGTTTTCACTTTCTATTTTTTCCTTTCTCTATAGTTGTTTAGTCATTAGTTTGAGATATCAATGATTTCGATGAATGGTGGTGGTAAAGGAAAAATTATTAAATATATATATGATATTAAAATCACTTATCTGGTTGTTGATTTTTATATGTGCATATATATTGCATTTATTGTGGTTATAATTATAAATACACAATATTAATTGATTTTTTTATTAAATAGCTACAATCGGCGCTCGATATAATGAAGTTTTGGCTAGTACAAATTTGGAAACTATCTTCAGAAAAATTGAATTTTATTGGATATTAACGCAGATAGTTTCCAAATTTGTACTAACCAAAACTTCACTATATCGAGCGCCGACTGTATTTTTTGAATTTGTAGATAATATTAAAATTATCTATCAGGATATATATACCATATGTTAAATCACGAAAACATCATTCTTATATTGCTTAATCCTATAATTTGGAAGTTATATGACCAGTTAATAAAGCTCTTGCCATTAAATATTAGATGTTTTTTATTTAATGAAAGGATCTGCATAAAATTTAGCCAATCAAATTCCTTTCAAAATTTCTTCCAGAAATTCCAGAATGCTTATCATTTATATATAAACAGTCAATCCAAGGATCTACAACAAGGGTTAACCTTACTATTTGAGACATCGATCCTAAGGTTAAACCTCTTACTGGTAAACCATCACCCAATCTACTAATTAAAATTAGGGTTACACATAACCACCAAACCACCCAGACACCCCTGTTAAAAGGTTGAACCTCATGTTTTGAGAATGTAGATCCTTGGATTGGGTGTATATAAATTAAGAAATACCAAATTTAGTATATCCCCTGACTGTAATATGTATGGATTTCACCAATTATAATTTATATATTATAGATCAATATTATGTAAAAAGCTCAATTTTGGTCAGATGACTCCAGAGGTGGTTTTTGCTGTGAAACGTCTTATATTCCCTGACTGTATTGTAATTTCTTGTTCTTGCTCTTGTACTTCTTCCAAATCCATTCTGAACTTGTTGTTTATGTAGTCATTGAAGATTTTTTAATATAAAATAATGTGTTATTAATAATTATTATTTGTTATTAGAGCTTTAAAAAACTTGATTTTTTCACCAATAAGTCCTATGTCCTTGAAAAAATAATGACCTATAACATTTCTTTATCATATTCACATTCATAAATATATGTTGACATTTGATTATATTTAATATTAGCATCAGTTCTACATCTTTTCTTCCAACAAAGAAGAGGAAGATAATTCATCAACTATAAAATATTGGCTTTTCTATTTCAGTTTATATTATATGGTAATAAATGCAATTAATCATCATTATTGTTGTTTTATTATTAGTACTATTATAAGAATGAAACATGTATATAAAAAATTTATTTAATTCATCAACCAGTCAATGCTTTATCAATTACAGATAATTTTTATCTTATGAAAAACTTAAAAGACTATATTTTTGACATTGATAAATGAAAAGCAAAGAACTTTTAACAAAAGAATATTGCAAATAAGTTATATAGGATGACTATAAAACAGCGAATCAAAGGAATGTAAAAATATTATGTTGAAAGTTGCATTTTGTAAAATCTTTTTTAATGAGAATGTTGTACAAAATGTAATTTTTTCATGACTTGTATCAAAAAATGGATCAATTAAAAAAATGTTAATAATTAATGAAAAGAGACTTTGATACTGCAATGTGGACAAGAGGAACTATAATGAAAAGAAAAAATATTTTTTCAAGTTAATTTTGAAATTTGATTGATTTCAAAACTAAACATTCCCTTGGAGAGACCATGTTAATCCAACTGACTTAGAATATTGATCAATTTTATTGAAGACTTTTTCTTTTTTTTAATTCAAAAATTGATAAATTAAATGAATTGATATCACATTATTAAAAAAAAATTGTGTTGATCATTATTAATTATTATGATAATTTGCATTAGAAAAATCCCTTTAATCAATGATGATATATATCATCTAGTTGTAACAAATATCATCATAATCATCATCTAATGGCTTACTTTTTTTTCTATAAACCATCAATTCTATAAGTGCTGCCCAAATTAAAACTCAAGAATCCCAAATCCTAAATTACTTTGTACATTCCCAAATGTACAAATCCCAAATGTTGATCAATCTTTCTGCCCTGCTTTTCTAACCAATAATAATATAGTGTAACAAATCCTAGGCATTTATTGGTTGGGAACAGAATGCCATGGGTGTACAAAGTAGTTCAGGATTTGGATTTCTTCGACAAGCTGGATGCCATAACCCCCAATGATTTGGGTTTGGGCAGCATGTATAATCAATTTTAATTCCGGTTCATAACACAAAAAATAAATTTCAAAAGTTTTTCTACATTTATATTAATATCCAATTACAAATTGGAGCATATAATTAAGCTTTTGACAATTTTATCATTTTTGTTGTATTTGTAATATTTGTGGTTTATGATGTCAGTAAATTTATTTTGGCAAAGGATAGACCACTAATTGAAACTAAATTTGATGTTGGAAAACAAGCTTTGATATCAGGAATTGTTGTTTGTGGACCAAATATGAATGTTCAACCTAAATGATTTATGGGTTTGTCTGGTAATACCACAAAAGAATGTGATGCATTATGGTGGAGTCAGTGTCCTTTAGAACAATTCAAATTTATATTCCTTGACACTTCCAATGAAAGTTGGCATAAATTTATTATTATTATATATTAATTACTACCAATAACAATTGTAATTAATTGGCATGTTGTTTTTATTGATAACATAGTTGCCAAATGTAAGAAACTGTTATATTTTGACAACATCAAATTCATCACAATTCAAGCCAAATGTCATTGAAGAATTAAATATTCAAATGAAACTACAAACTTTATTTCTCTGGTTCATCATTGGGGTAAATAGAAATTTTCATAAAATTTATAATTTCCAGCGAATTTATTTTTTAATTAATACCTTTTGTAGTACAATTTGTAATTTTTTGGCCACGTCACAAAATCCATTTCATGTTCATCCTGATTTTTTTAATTTACCAGCGAAACGTTATTCACACTTCAAGAAGAGAATTATACAAATTGGTAAAAGTGAATAAATTGAGATTGAATGTAATTTTTCTTCATTAGATAAAATTAAAAAAAAATTTTTATATATGGATAAAAAAATCCAAATTTCATATGATGTGTCAATTTCAAGAAGAGCATTACCAATATTTCAAAATGATACAAAGAAATTCATATAAGGTAAATGCTTGTCTATATGAAAATATATGGATAAGGTTTATACATAATTTAAATCTACATCTAAATCTAAATCCAAAATTTACTTTATTATCCATTCATTCATTCATCTTCCACAACACAATTATAATGCAGACCTGATTATGACCTAAATAGCAAAGGATATAAAATGCTTGTAAATCATGAAAGAAAATATTTGGAATTTATGATCTAATACCAACAATTGGTGGATGCCTTGCACTGCTAATCCTATATAAATTATTT